CACACACACACACACACATACATACAGTGCAGCTGTACAGTGCAGTTAAAAAAAAAATGCAAAACAGCACCACCCTTAGGTTAATAAAAGGAAGCAAAACATCTGGTAACGTTTTACATTAACTGTACCTTCATAATGCCAGCATAATGCATTTGTAGAACATTCATTCACCTTCATAGTGCTATTGACCTCCACTGGGGATATACAGGCAGTGATAGGAGTACTTCAAGGACAACCTGAATCCCACTGCATGCCTTCCTTGGAAGCTATAAAATCAGAGGAAGACATGCCCATCATTAGGGTAGGAGTCAACTGTCTTGGCTGACACACCTCTTCAACACTGAGGTTGGGAACTGTGCCTTTGGATTGGCAGACTTGGGGTGGTGGTCCCAATCTTTATGAAAAAGGACCAGAGGGAGTGTTCCATCTTCGGGGGAATCACAGACCTCAGCCTCCCTGGGAAGGTCTATGCCAGGGTACTGGAGAGGAGGGTTGAACCTTGGATCTAGGAGGAGTAATACACTGGACCTATGTCACCATATCTGTCAGCGTTTACCCAACATGAGTAATTCCCCCAGTCACTGCATTTGCTAATTAATACACTGAGGCAGTCTACAAACACGTGACTTTTTAATGAGAATCAGCAGCTACAAATCTGAGGTCATGATTCTCATTCAGAAAAAGGTGGATTGCCCCCTCCGTGTTGGGGAGTAGTTACTGCATCAAGTGGAGGAGTTTAAGTATCTCGGGATCTTGTTCATGAGTGAGGGAAGAATGGAGCAGGAGATCGACAGGCGGAGATATGTAGTTAAAGAGAGAATACACATATGAAAACAATTTATAACTTTACTAGATCAAAGAAACAGCCCAACTGCCTTGAATGACCAAGACCAAGTACAACAAAAGCAAAAGCCAAAAAATGTATAGGGTGGGTGTGTGTTTCAATGGATTCCTCCACATCCCCCTCATCTTCAGCCTTCCCTGCTTTCTGTTTAGAACCCGGTGTCCATTCAGCCATGTCCTCTGGTCTGAAGGGCGTTGAGCAGAAATGCTGAAGGCCCAGACTAGGAGAACAACCCCCTCTAAGTCTGTTTGACCAGCATGCACACCTGCTCCCTATGCATAGTTGACAAGAATATTGAAGCACCATGATAACGCTAATGCTACGACTATTACGCCTACAGATCACGTAATCAAGATTTTCCGCTTGAAGGTGAATGTGTTGCGTTCTCCCAGAGAGCAGGCCTATGACAGTATGAATGTCTATGTTTATTTGGGAGTTCTTCTCACCTATGCCCTGCTTTCCCATCATTTGCGGAAATCCAAGGAATTAATCCCAGTTAGCTTCAGTGTCATATGCAACTGTAATGCCCTGATTTCAAGTGTATTTTACAGTGAACATTGCTCATATATCACTTTTAGATTTTATATGTTTACATTATATTGGCAATGTAATGGGTGAATAATAGCAGAGTTGGTAAATGCAGGAGGCTGTGGGTTGAAAGGGAAAAAATTAAATCAATGCAGCGAAATCAGGGAAATCCAAGATTCCTACTGCGACTGCATTTACGAGCATCCTGTCCATGCCTGGGGTGGCTTAACTGTCACTCCCTGCGTACTGTACATTCAGCAGAGCAGCTGAGAGGGGAATGATCGCAGCCGAGGCATGCTGTTCAAACAAGCCTGCACAGAGAGCACAGTGACAGCAGGTAGACAGCAGATGATGAAATGCGCTGATCGTCTCACACAGTTTCTGAGTTCATATGTCCACCTATTGATATCTCAGCACCCTCACATGCACAGATCACAATACAGACCATGTTCATAAAAATTACATCAGCGTGACTGACTGGTAATGGGGGTATCTGTGTTTTTTCCCCCAAAAAAGTGATTCCGTACAGAAGCAGGTGGGAGATGGAGTACAAGGTTATGCATATCTGCAGTACATTTTCCCATGAGCTGTTATAGGTCATAGGTCAAATGCCTCTTGACCATGCAGGTGCTTGTTACATGAAAACATGGGATTTTCTTCACAGGATGAAAGTAGGATGATGCTTCATGGAAAACTGGAGTTACCGTCCACGAAAAAGAATCTGAATCACATTGCAGTTGCTTCCATTGCTGAGGAATGTGTGAAAGGGTTTTCAGGTCAGACCTATGTGATGTCTTTAGAGACACACCAAACAAATAAGTATATGACATTAAAATTGTTGGCACCATAATCTAAACAAATGGATTAATATGGGCCGCAGGGACCCAACACACTTTCTCTTCCTTAATTATTATATGTATTATATTGTTCTTTTTCTG